GGTGAGATTTGAACCGCTGAACTGCTGATCTAGCAGTCAGCCTGCAGTGCTGCATTTAACCACTGCACCACCTTGGCTCTTATAAATGTCTTATAATCTTGGACTGGGAGCCACCCAGAGTTGGCATTAAAGATGGAAGGCTACATAAATGTTTCAAATAAATAAATATAAATAATATACATGGAAACATACATGGAAATATAAATGCAAATATAAATATAAATATCAGTGCAAATATCAATGCAAATATCAATACAAATATCAATGCAAATATAAATATAAATATAAATGCAAATATAAATGCAAATATAAATATAAATGCAAATATAAATGCAAATATAAACCCAGGTAGTCCTCAATGTACGATGAGAATTGAGTCCAACATTTCTGTTGCTAAGCAAGTCAGTTGTTAAGTGAGTTTTGTCCCATTTTGCAACCTTTCTTGGCACCGTTGTAAAGCAAATCACTGCAATTGTTGGGTTAGTAATAAGGATGCTAAGGGACTCTGGCTTCCCCATTGACTTGGCCGGTCAGAAGGTGGCAAAAGGGGATCACATGACCCCGAGACATTGCGACCGTCATAAATATGAGTCAGCTGCCAAGTGCCTGAATTCTGATCCGGTGTCCGTGTGGAGGCTGCAACGGTTAAAATATGAAAACTGCTCTTAACTTCCCTTTTTTAGGTGCCATTGGAGCTTCAAACGAACCGGGCGTGACTCAAGGACCGTTTCCATTGCGCCTCTCATGCCCTCTGACCCTCCCGGGGAGACTCTGCCTCAAAAGCTCCAGTAAAAATCCTGGGGACGGGAGCTAGGGAGACCCCCTCGGACACTTCAACCTCCGGGGGGGGAGCTGGTGGGCTTGGGGCCAGTCCCCCCCCCTCTCTCTCCCGGGGTTGGCGTTGAGAGGAAGGGAGGGAAGTCGGACCTCCACTGTCCGGAGCTGTAAATGAGGAAGAAGCTGGAGGGGACTCCCCCCCCCAAACGTAAAGGCTCTGCACTTTCTGCACGCTTACTCTCCTCTCCCCCCCCCCAATCCCTCCCCCTCGCCCTTTGCAGGCATCTCCGGGGGCTCAGCAGGGGAGCAGAGCGCTCATGGCGGAGGGGGATCGGTTATTTGGGGAGAAAATTGGGGGGGGTGTTGAACAACCACTCCGGACCCCTCGCCTCTCTCCTGCTTTCGGGGAGGGGGGCTTCCCTTTTGGGAAAGACCCCGGGGTGGAGTGTGCGTGGAGGCCCCACCGCCCTTGGCAAAAGAGGCGCTCTGAAGAAGCGCGTCCCACAGTTCGTGTGTAAAAAGAGGGGGGGGGACCGGTGTTGGGGAGGAGAAGACTCCGGGTGGGGGGACCATGGGGAGGGGGCCACGAGCTGCAAGGATGGCAGGTGGGGTGGGGGCGAGGCAGCCATGAGGACGCCGTGGCCCCTTCGCCCCAGCTTGGGGTGCGTGGGGGTCTTCCAGCCGAGGATGCAGAGGGGGCTCAGCCCTCCCGCCCCGGGACGCCCCTCCAGGAGACGGCCGCCCCCCCCCAGCACTCACCGAGATGCCCTCGTACTCCGTGGCCATGGCGCCCTCCCCGCAGAGGCTGGCCGGGGGGCTCCGGGCCCCTCCCGCCAAGCGCCCCTTCCCCGCCGCTCAGCGGAGCCTCCTCGCCATCAGCACCGCAGCTGTCCGCGCTCCGCCTGAGCTGCCCCGACGGCCGCCGGGCTTGTTTTTCCTGCGCCGGGAGGAGCCCCGCAGCCCACCTGCCAACCCTCGGGGGACCGGTTGCCACACGGAGGCCCCGGGCGGTGGCATCTCCGGGGAGGGAGGGAGGGAGGCACAGGTGGCCGTTGGTGGCAGCCTGGCCTTTTCACGCCCAGCCGCCAGGAGGGCATCGCAGCGCCGGGTCCTTGTGCCAACTGCCCCCAGAGGCAGCGTTTCTTTTGGGGGGGGGTCCCAAAAGTTTTGCTTTAGGAATAAAAGGAGCTCCTGGTGCCAGGGGAGTTTGCAGGCAAGGCTGGGGTGCAGGATGAGTCTTCCTCCTCTTCGGGAATCGCTTTCAGGAAAAGCTGAAATGTCTTCTTAGCTCTTCCCTTTTTGAAAGCTCTTTCCTGCTCTCCGAACTTGGTGGTTTTCTTGCAGACTTTTATTACACAAACTAGATAACATCATCAGCGCTAGAAGGGACTGAGAGGAGGGGGAGGAAGACTGTGGGATCCTTGGTGCTCTCTGAGCTTGGTGGAGCTCTTGCAGACGTTTCATGACCCAACTAGGTAACATCATCAGTGCTAGAAGGGACTGAGAGGAGGGGGAGGAAGACTGTGGGGGTCCTTGGTGCTCTCTGAGCTGGGTGGAGCTCTTGCAGACGTTTCATGACCCAACTAGGTAACATCATCAGTGCTAGAAGGGAGGAGGAGGAGGAAAGAGCTTT